GCTCAGTGAAAGGTGACCTCCCATTCATTACTCTATTCAAACCTCACAGTAATCCGTTGACATATGGAGTGGTATCCACATGTCATGAATGGAGACACTTGGGTTTAGAGAAAAGTTACTCACACAAGGCAATCGGGAAGTTGAGAATAGACCTGGAATTGGATTCTGCCTCCTTACCCAGATTTTTTCCATGATATGCCATAGCACACTTTATTTCAGACTATTTCTTCTTAAGGTAATTTGATTTTTAAACCAGGATAACTTGGAATTATAATTCATCTCATTTTGGTACAATCTTGACATCCAGAATGAAGAAATGTAATCCAACCTCCAAATTTCCTCCACGTCTTTATAAAATACAGCAGACTTTTTGGTGAGGAAAGATTTATAAGGATGTAGATCTTACTTAAGGAAAAGCTGGGCTAAAAAGAAGGTTTCCAGATACTGTTACTAGCAGCCTGTAACCCTGGATTCCTGGTCTTCCTTTCCAGCTCCAGCTTTCCATTTGGTCATTTGTTCATTACTTATATTATGACCCTTTTTCCTGTAAGAAGCTAGCATATAACTTTCTTACATTGAGTCGGGGGAGGAATTGTAAAGTTATATCAGGTAAGGGGTAAGATCTGTGATCACTGAGAAGTTAGTGGGGCCAGGGTTGGGGGTTGGAGGTGTGAGGCAGATGAGAACAGAGAGGGAACAAAGGCACCTATGTGGCAAACTGAGGCCTGCTCCTGACATGATGGCCGCTGAGAAGGGAACATGAGAAAGCCATTGATTCATCTACAAAGGAGAAAAAGTTTTAAAGCAGGGAGCCAGGGAGTGTTCGCAGAAGTATGGGCAACATATAGTAGGTTCTGAGTGAAGCAGGTATTCAATGATTGAATAAAGAGCTTCACCTAAGTATATCTGAATGTCTTATGAGGATTCCAGGCAAGATAAGGCTCAGGCAGAACTCCAGTGTAAGAAGTGGTGGGACAGGTTTTGAGCAAAAGAGCCCAACTTGTTTGATCTCCATCCTACTCATTAATACCCTTATGCCTTTCTCCTCAGAAACCAGGGCCCACCCACATGTCGCATCTTCCCGCAGCCTTCCACTGACCCTCAGCACACACACCCCGCAGAGTTTCACCCAAATCTGTCTATCTTCAAGGACAATGACCTGCACTAGGAATTAGGCCATCTTTTCTACTCTCTACCTCATCAGCGCTCACATTTCCACCAAAACTTATCTAATAGTTCTCAGGAAAGTAACTTGATTACTGTTGACATCTCGTTTTAACCACTTTGGGCCATTTACATGCTAAAGAAGGTACTTGTTAACCTCAAACGGTTTGTTGTTTTTGTTGTTTGCCATGGAGTCAGTTCGAACTCATAGTAGCCCTGGTGGTGCAGTGGTTAAAGCGATCGACTACTAACCAAAAGGTCAGTGATTCAAAACCACCAGCAGCTCCATGGGAGATATATGGCAGTCTGCTTCCGTAGACATTTACAGCCTTGGAAACCCTATGGGATCTCTAAGAGTTGGAATCGACTTGAAGGCAGTGGGCCAGTGGGTTAGGGACCCTATAGGACAGAGTAGAACTGCCCCATTGGGTTTCCAAGGCTGTAATCTTTACGGAAACAGACTGCCACATCTTTCTCCCTTGGAGCAGCTGATGGGTTCAAACTGCTGACCTTTTGCTTAGTAGCTCAGCACTTAACTACTGCACCACCAGGTCTCCCTATCAAAGGGCTTAGACAGTAATCATTAAATATTTCTGAAGATATTGAAGGACTTTTTTTTTGTGTTGCATCTCAAACTTCACAAGGTAGACAGTTAATATTAATGTATTTATTTTAAGTAGATGCTAGAGTCCAGAATCCCATCATCAACATGACACAGGATCGTTAATGTCTTAACCATTGTGTTGTACCCTTAACATTCTAAGGCAAAGCCCAAAAGTTTGAGGAACTATCTATAAAAGTAGTCTACCTGCTAAATAGCTGAACTTTAAAAATATATGACAAAATGGCAGAGGAATTGCTTCATATTTGGTGGGTCTGACTGAAGCCCTGCTGTGTATTGAGAATCAAGACAGCTATGCTACTCATTTGTTTTGTTGCAAGGATTCCCTGTTGTGCTTACAGCCCATTTGAAGTGTGCTAAATTAGTAAGTGTTTCTGCTTGAATCCATACAGATCTGAGGCCTAAAAGCAGATCCTGCTAGTCAAAGTAAATTAAAGAAACCATAAACCAAACCAGTCGCTGTCAAGTCAACTCCGACTTACGATGACCCCGTGTGTGTCACAGTGGAACTGTACTTCATAGGGTTTTCCACAGCTGAATTTTTTGAAGTAACTTGTCAGGTCAAATTAACACAGCATTTAAAAAAAAAAAAAAGATTAATAAATATTTATTTTGTCTAGCCATTTTGACAAAAGGGTTCCCATAAACTGCTCATTGCATAGGCTGAAAAATGGGTAAGACTGAATATAATTAGTTTGGTTATAATCTACCGTTTAGCTTAAAAATGATTGTCTTCTAGAAAATGTATCATTTACGTAGTTGGAGAATCAAAAAATAGATGAATGGTATTTGAACCTAAATAAGAGTTGCCTGTTTTTCATGGGATAAATTGAAATTTGAAACCAAACCAAGCCCCTTGCCATCGAGTTGATTCAGACTCATAGCAACCCTATAGGATAGAGTAGAACTGCCCCATAGGGTTTCTAAGGCTATCATCTTTATGGAAGCAGACTGCTACATTGTTCTCCTATGGAGCAGCTGGTGGGTTCGAGCCGTTGACCTTTCAGTTAGCAGCTGAGTGCATAACCACTGTGCCACCTGGGCTCCTACGTTAAAATTAACAGCCACTGTAATGAACCACAACAGAGGACACCGTGGTCTGGGGGCAGGATTCTCACAGCTGCAACCTGTATCCCTGAAATTATTACATTATTCAGGAATAAATTTTCCACATACTCAAATCTGTTCATTTGTAGCGTGTATTAATTGAAAACCCATTTACTGATGAGCAGACATTTGAAGGTACTTTAAAAGTGGCTTGTTTATAACAGCTGTTGGCACCACTGGAATTCAATATGATGCCAAGTGAATGCCATTTCAAATAAAAACTTTTTTTTTTCTCTTGGCAGCAGAAAAGAGCAGAATCACACAGTAGCTCTTGATTTATGAACTGTGTTTTCTGACTCACAAACCCCCCCCGCCTCCGAAGTTACAGTTCCCTTTAAGGAACGGGGTTGGAACCCTTTAACAAGAAAACAATCCTATCTCCAGATACGCTTTTTGATTTGAAATTCCATGGGCCTTCGATTATAATTTGTCACATTCTCACACCTGCTGTGATCAGGGGAGAGAGTGGAGGCAGAGAATCATACGGCAGCTTCTTCAGTGACAGATTCCCATCAGAACCTACAATGGATGGTGAATACTGTGGACTGGATTTGTGGAAGTATTTTATGTACAACGTTCTAGTAAGCGTTTTGGCAGCCCTGGGTCACATCCTGAAATGATACAGTTGTCTCCCCCAAAACACGGTTTAAGTGTCGACGAAGAGAAGGACGCAGCTACTCCACACGGGTAGGGAGGGTGGCGTGTGCGGTGGCAGACGGGGATGCTCAGGGGGACATTTGACGTCTGCCATACAGTTTTTTTGGCTGAGGAAAGGCTTCCAGTCTGTAAACAGAGTCTGTCCTCACAAGTGGTCCACCAAACAAAGTGTTTATTGTGAAGTGGGCCCGGTCCCTGGAGAAGGGAGAAAAATGATTCCTTTTTTTGACTGAAGGGAAGTTAACCCTTTCCATTCCTTTGCAACCAAGAACAAACTCCGTAAGTACTTACTAATTTCTCTGGTTGGATCCCGGGGAGGGGAGTGGTCGCCACATCAGGAATAATATTGACTCATACTTCATTGTTGACGCAGCAGAGTAGGAGAGACTTCTAGTTTAAAGGGCCCCCTAGCCCTCTGGTCTCCACATCTGGTATAGGTAGACTATGCCAAAAACATTTTCTAATAATGATCGAACAATTAAAATTGGGCTGCAGGCACTTCTTTTTTTTTTTTTTGCACGGAAGTCACTAAAGAACATTTAGACATTGCATTTTTAAAATTTACTTTTAGACTTAAGCTGGGGAGTGGACTGGCACGTACCATGGATGCTAAACCTGCCATGAACTGTATGCTTGACCTTGATATTTTAAAGACTGCCTTTGGAGGGAGACACATGGCTTTGCATGGGATGGCTTTGAAAGAAAACATCAAGCAAACACCCAAGAGCTGCAGAGAAGGGTTCATTTGTAGCATGCTCCCTTTAAGAGGGAAACAAGATTAGCAGCTTTGGCAAATTTTTGCCTTCTATTCAGAGGGAAAGAGAAGAGCTGCCAGTGTCAAAAAGGAAAAAAAAAAAAAAAAAAAAAGATGGACGTTATGGAATAAAGACAAAGGCAATTGTACACCTTCCTGAATGCTTGCCTGGGAGAGATTTTGCCTCCTGTGGGGTTCAGAAAGCTTTTTTTTTTTTTTCCCATTCAAGACAAAAGGTGGAGCTAGGGGAAAAGAAGTTTAATCTGAAGTAGGCATCCCTGTAGGTTCTATTCTGTCCTGGGAAATACACAAGGAAGAAGAGTCTCCTTGGAAGAGAGAGGAGACAGCAGGTGCTGAAGGTGAGGTGCTGCTTATTACAGCAACCAGTATGTAACTTAAATTATAATGTAAAGATAGACAATTTTAATGGTATCCTTCTAAGGAAAACCACCTCGCTTAAGCAGCTAGAAAGCTTAGCAGACTGTGAGCCGAATATCTGAGTTATATTTTGCCTCTTTAGATGGTGGATTACTTTGTTTTCTAAATGTTCTCAGGCAAGAAGCAAAAAATACTGTTTTTGTGTCAGGTCAGAAAAGGTAGCAAGGTTTCATTTGGGATAATCACAGTGTTTACGCAAAACCTCGTGCATATGGAAAAATGCTATTTTCTCTAATTGCATATTTTGTTTCTATGATGACTGAGTTGAATTCTAAACTGAAACGAGTAATCAATACTGAGTGTCTCTGTCGTTCAAATGTTGTCTTAGCTGTTTCAGGTGGGATAAAGTGGCTTCAAATTTGGCAAATTGTTATAAGGATGGAAATTGAAAGCTGAAGTGTGCTTAATTTTCTTTTTTAGGTTTTAACTAAACACCAAGCCAACAAATAGCAACGCGCCGAGAACGATTTACTACTGCAAAACTTACCTTGATGCACTGAGGGCACAGGAAAGAATGAGCTATTACGGCAACAGCTATCGGATTGTAAACGTGGACCCTAAATATCCAGTCTACCCGCCAGAACACATTATAGCTGAGAAAAGAAGAGCAAGAAGACGCCTGCTCCACAAAGATGGCAGCTGTAATGTGTACTTCAAGCACATTTTTGGAGAATGGGGGAGCTATGTGGTCGACATTTTCACCACTCTTATGGACACCAAGTGGCGCCATATGTTTGTGATATTTTCTTTGTCTTACATTCTTTCCTGGTTGATTTTTGGCACGATCTTTTGGCTAATAGCCTTTTATCATGGAGATCTGTTGAATGATCCAGACATCACACCTTGTGTGGACAACGTGCATTCTTTTACAGGGGCATTTTTATTCTCCCTTGAGACTCAGACCACCATAGGTTATGGCTACCGCTGTGTCACTGAAGAATGTTCTGTGGCGGTGCTCATGGTGATCCTTCAGTCCATCTTAAGCTGCATCATAAACACCTTCATCATTGGAGCTGCCTTGGCCAAAATGGCAACTGCCCGAAAGAGAGCACAAACCATTCGGTTTAGCTATTTCGCACTCATAGGCATGAGAGATGGGAAGCTTTGCCTCATGTGGCGCATAGGTGATTTCCGACCAAACCATGTGGTGGAAGGGACAGTTAGAGCCCAACTTCTCCGCTACGCAGAAGACAGCGAAGGACGGATGACAATGGCATTTAAAGACCTGAAGTTAGTCAATGACCAGATCATCCTTGTCACACCAGTAACTATTGTTCATGAAATTGATCGTGAGAGCCCTCTTTATGCCCTTGACCGCAAAGCAGTGGCCAAAGATAACTTTGAGATTTTGGTGACATTTATCTATACCGGTGATTCCACCGGGACATCTCACCAGTCCAGAAGTTCCTATGTCCCTCGAGAAATTCTCTGGGGCCACAGGTTTAATGACGTTTTGGAAGTTAAGAGAAAGTATTACAAAGTGAACTGTTTACAGTTTGAGGGAAGTGTTGAAGTATACGCACCCTTTTGCAGTGCCAAACAATTGGATTGGAAAGATCAGCAGCTCCACAACATGGAAAAAGCACCACCTGTCCGAGAATCCAGCACGGCAGACACCAAGGTCAGGCGAAGGTCATTTAGTGCGGTTGCCATTGTCAGCAGCTGTGAAAACCCCAAGGAGACCACTACCTCTGCCACGGATGAGTGTAAGGAAGCGCCTTATCAGAAAGCCCTCCTAACTTCAAATAGAATCTCTGTAGAATCCCAAATGTAGTCTTAAGTTGTAATTACAAGGGCTACCACACAATCATTTTACCCTCCAGTCAGCTTAGTTGTAAACATGACTTTTAAAGAATGATGTAACTGTGATTTATGGTTAGAGGGGATAAGTAGGGTAGGTTAAATTTGATAAAAGATAACCTAAAAATCTCATAGTATACAATTGTTTCAACTTTTTTTTTGTGAGGGGGAGCTAGGAATTTTTTTTTTTTTAAATAGGAACGTTATTAAGAAACTGAATTGATTACTTTAAATTTCATTTCCTTTTATTATCCCATATACTTGTATTTTTCTTTGGAGAAACAATTCTCAGCAATGGGGAACAAAGGCAGGATGCCACAGTAAACACAAACAAGAAGAAAGGCAGTCAGCATGAATAATAAATTCTGAAATATCAGATAGTATAATGATATCCAAATTGTTAGTATAATGAGTGATTTCCTATACGCATGATGCCATCTAACTGAGAAGTGCCAGATATGCATTCAATAGATTGTAATGTTCAGATATTTAACTGTGAAATCAAGCGGCCAGTTTAAGTCTGTCTGTTTGCACCTCCTAGTGCTTTGTATCAGCAGGCATAGGTGGTGGCTATAAAACATAGACCATGCTCACTTTAGAGAGTTCCCCTGGCATTTGCCCAGGTAATGATCAATAATTATTAGAAGTATTTTCTCTCTAACCCACGAGGCAGAAGAAAAGTTGACGTCATTATTCAGAGCAGTATTTCTCTCTTAAATGCCCTGGTCATCTCCAACAAATGGCTTTCTATGGAAGAGAAGAAATAAGACAATCATGATTCCTCTAGGTTCTCCGACCAAGTGACTTCCTATGCCTGCCTCCCACCTTCTTCAAGGACATGATGAAGGGGCAGGATCATAGAGATGGGATGAGGGATTGCACAACAGTGATAAACATCGGGGAACCCTTTGAGAGAAAACATTCTGTGCATGTGCCCTGAAAGACTGCAGCCTTGGCTGGCTACTTAAGGGATGGGACCATTTTTGGGTTTTGTCTTTGCAGGGGGCTGAGAGTGGGGTTGTTTGTCTATGTGAAGAGCAGTTATGCATGCTTCCTGTCTTGGTTATCATACAAGACGTAAATGACTCCAGTTGTGGATTTTGAGACACTCTTCCATTGAACTTGGAATAGTTATTTTAATTGGTGATTTTGTGAAACATAATGAAGATGATTTGAATGCAAGTTAAGTCGAGAAGCTGAGTGCTCTAGAATTGCTTAAATTTTAGGACATGAGATAATTTTTTATTCTCTATTTCTATGCTAAGTGCTATCAATCATGATGTATTTAATCATGATCACCTAGGAGTGAAGAGTCTCTTTGAGCTTCATGAAGTGAAGAGTTATTAGCTACATTCAGAATTATCTTTTTTTTTTTTTTTTTTAACATTGATGCTGCACTGGTAATATGTAAATACCACAGTTTTTATTTTATTTTAATATATAGACACATATGTTTTGCTTTTCCTGGAAAATCCCAATCTCTCTCTCTCTCTCTCCCTCCCTTTCTTTCTCTCCGCATTTAAATTAAAACACAAGTAAATTGAACTGAGTCATGGTCCAAGATTACCAATAAAGGTAAAATATATAAATGTATAAAATACTTTTTTTCTCTCCTCTTTCTTTTTCCATTTCCTTCCCTTCATCCCTCCCTTCTTTTCTTTCTTCCTTTTTCTGACTTATGAGCAATTGAAGTTACTTTTTAAATGCACATGTGCAATCTTACATTCCTATTTTATGGGTAAGAGATTTGTTCAAGTCACAAGTGGCAAAAATCCTGAAGCTTCATATCAGAGATCTAACTAGTGCACTTTTTCTTCTGTCTTGCTTCAGGAATGCAAAATCTATTTTTCCAGTTTCACACATACTATAGATTTGGATTTTGTCGCAGCGATTACTCAGCTATATTAGAGTACTGCAGTCTGCTAGGCAGAAAGCAACCACCACCACACCAATAAAAACGACTCTGTGTTAGCTGGTTTCACACACTTCTGGTTTCATTTTACTTCACTTGGCTTCCTGAACTCTGCCTATCCTCGATGCTTGCCTTGTTAATATTGGAATAGGGGCATCAAAGTCCGAGGAAATACATTCAGCTGCATTGTGTGCCTCCACAATCAAATCCTCTTAGCCAGTATAGAACGTAAAATCAGCATTCATATGTAATATTTGTCTCTAATTGTATTTCGATTTATAACACACTTCGATGCCCCAAGGAGTTACTTAATAATAAAGATCTTAAAATGTATGCAATAAGTATACGCATGTAACTGTATTCCACGTGGTGTAAGCTGTGTGCGGATATGGTCAGCATAGTGTACAGTGTACCAACAATGAAGCTGCTGCTTCATATAATCAAAACATAAGCAGTACTGTAAACCTTTTTTTGTGTTGTTTTTTTTTTTAACAATTTGTAGAACAGCAACATCTGAAGTAACAATCAATCAGTTGCTTCTTTAAGTGTTGCAAGAAAGCGCCGTGCACAATGGCATTTCTAGATTTGAATACTCTGCCAAAGGTCCCTGGGTGGTGCCAACAGCTTGCGCTCATCTACCAACCTAAAGGTTGGCCGAACCCATCCAATGTCACCACAGACGAAAGCTCTGGCCCTCTGCTTCCATAAGAACACATAAGAGCACAACCAAGAAAACCCCATGGAGCAGTTCTACCCTGTAAACACATAGGGTCACTATGAGTGGGGATTGACTTGACAGCAACAGGTATGGTTTTTGGTTTGGCCAATGGTAAGGCATTGGTCCCCCCCGCCCCCGCCATTACATCCATTTTCTCCCTATAAATGAAATGATTCAGTGGAGTTAACTGGGTGAAAGACACATTGTGGTATCAAGGCTTTGCTCTACCATATGCTATCATCTGTGAAGTAGGCCCTTGAGGACTGAGTGAGCATGGGGAAGGAGAAGAAATGATGGTTTTCATGTGCTGTCAATTTATCATGCACTGGTAGATGCTTTACACAGATATACTATATTCCCACAGCAAAACAGTGAGGGAGGTATTTTTGATTCTCATTTCATCAAATATCCAATTCTCTCCTTCTTCCTGACTAACAAATCCCCAATTTTCTTTGGGACAACCATGTTTTTAGGTTAACAAATAAAATACAACTATGTTTCCCAGTTTCCCTGCAGCTGACACTATTCTGGTCACTGAGATGTCAGCAAAAATCTTTGGGTGTGGTCTTTAAGAAAGCTCTTTCATAGGAATTAAGCAGGTACATGCCCATCTACTCTCCCCCTTCATCCTTCTTCCCATCCGGACCTCAGACTTGGTAGCTGGAGCTCCTGCAGCCATGTTGTGATGATGAGACTCAAGGGAAAATGGAAAGGTAGGAAAGAATCCTAGATTGCGTATCTCCAGACTTCTTTTGCATGAGTGAAAATAAGTATGATTTCTAGCTGACACAGTGACCAATATATCTAAAGGAAATTATCTGAGAAACAAGGCTGGTGAGCAAAAAACGATGTACTGTTTAGGTCCAACTTGTACATGACGTTTGATGGAGCTGGTCACTGTGGAAACCACATATTTTCTGGAGAGTTGAGGAAATGCCACTATTATTATAAAACAAACACAAAGGAGTTACTTTTGCCCTGGAAATCCCTCTGAGACGCTGGTGGTTGAGTGATCTTGATAAAAGGATTGACCTGGCCTGCCTTTGGGCTACCCTTCATTTTCTTCCTTCCTTAACCCCTGCCCCCAGCTGAATTACATCTGGTGTTTTAATGTGACTTTCACTGGGGCTATTGATCTGAAATCCACTGGGACCAGGCAAAGCAAGTGCTGCACAGCTTAGGCAAAAAATAAAACTCTGTTGCTACTGTGTTTCTAACCCCCAGCAAGACTAAATTACATCAGTTTAGAACATTTGAAACGACCTTATATACACACCAAGGAACCCAGATCCTTATGTTAAATATCTGTACGTCCATCACTTCTGAGTTTTAAATGATTGGGCACCAAATTCTGCTCAGTTTAAAATATTCTATTCATCCCATTCATTAAAAGTTTGAGTCTTCTGAACATTCTGCAAGACATATATATATAAGCCCCTGTGTTTTCTTCAGGTTAACTTCATCTGTGGACTTCTCGAAGCCCTCTGCACACCTGTCATACTAGATAAATCACAAAACCAACCAGTTGCCCTGACTCAATTCCGACTCCTAGAGATTCCATGCTTGTCAGAGTAGAACTGTGCTCCATAGGGTTTTCAATGGCTGATTTTTTGGACGCAGATCACCAGGTCTTTCTTCTGAGGTACCTCTGAGTAGACTCAAACCTCTAGGCTTTCTGTTAGTGGCCGAGCAAATTACCCGTTTGCACCACCCAGGGATTCCATAAATTAAAAAACCCTGTCATGATTCTAAAGTTGGTGTGGCATCTATTTCTCTCTCTCTTTCACTTTCATTTTGAAATGAGCAATATGACCCATTCTCTGGAGAAAATAACTTTTGGCGCCACACACAAAATACAAGTGGGATTATCCAAGAACACACAGACAGACTGATTAAGCAGGGGGGAAGCGCTTGACAAATTCTATGCAAAGATTCTCCTGGATGTGAGGTCTTGGAAACAGAAAGCTAGTGACAGAGACATGGTTCAGATAAATCTGTGGGCAGAACGCAAGCAAGGCCTCCCAGGGGAGCCAGTTCCTAAACAGACTTCATCGTTGTGTGCCCAGGAAACCATGGCTGGTCTGCATTGCTTTGGAGCTTTTCCTCTGTAAGAAAACCCTTGTCTCCAGATGAATTCCCAAGCGCCTCTTTCTTTGAGTGCTCTTCCATTTACTAAAGCAATTTGCTACAATCCTCTTGGTGCCGTGTGTCTGGGTCCCAAAGTTTGGTCGGGGCAAGCAGCACCTTGCCCCATCATGCCACCCAGCGCTCCTTTCCTTAGCAATTGCCATGCCTTTGGGCTCCTCTGTGTAGAGTTGGGGGACTTAGCTCGACACCTCTAAAT